GACATTGCAATAACAACACATTAACTGACAATTTTCTTTGGTATGTGGTTTTTCATTATCGATTCTATCTAATGTTGGTTTATTAGCATATGTAAACGCTTTACCACACATTTTGCATTTAGATGAAAGGATTAAATCGTGATAGTATTGATAGTCATCCATTGAAACATTGTTTTTAGTATCCCTTTCTGCTTTTTCATCTTGTTTCTTATATGAATCAATTTTATATTTCCAATACTTTTTTGTTAATTCAAAACTTGATTCCACATTTTCTTCTTCTGGATATGTTTCGTTAGGATTGAAGTTCTTATATGCTAACGCGTAACGAATCATTGATGCATTCGATGATAAAGAAAGATTATGAAGCATGTCAATTTTATAAACAAATGTTTCTTCAATAATTTTATCAATTGGGTCAATCATAATTTCAACGTCTTTATTGCAATAATGAATAAAATATTCTAATCTATTCTCAAAATTTTTAGCATCATTGAGATATATTTGATAATCTGAATCGGATATTGTTTCTTGAGTTAATGCTGAATAAAATGAATCTTGAGTGAATGGTTCCACTTTATATAATTCATCTTCGTAATTCTCCCATGTGATGAATTGATAAGGGAAAAAGGATTTAACACGTGATTTATTGTTTCCGAAATCTTGAGTGAATTGGTCTAATGTTCCACCCGCTATATAATTTCTGATGTCAATAAATCTTAATTCATATGGACAGTTTGTTTTCTTTACAATGATTTGCTTAAATTGAGAAGAAGAACCCAGCATTGATTTTATTTTCCATTTTGCAGTGTTTAAATCACGAAGAATTAAATTTAAATCAAACTTTCCCGAATTAAAAACCTATGATATTCATTTATTGAATTCCTCATCTAAGTTCTTTAAATGCTTCCTTCTGTTTTTCATTAATGTATGGGACAAAGTCCCCGCCGTTTTGGTCCGTTTGCGGCTTCATTAATTCTTCATATTGTTCAATATTTGATTTAGCAACTAATGAACAGGTTGAAAATAAAAATTCAATCAATAAGAGATGAACGAATCACTTGATTTAAGCAAAAATTCTCGTAAATGTTTTATTTCACGGTCTACGACCTCGCCGCTCGTCTGAAAGACCTTCAGGACTCAAAGAGTCCGTTTGCGGCTTTATTTTGACAGTTGATGATACCATAAATGGTTTTAATAAGCGTTCAAAGTTGCACATTCAGAAAGTTGAAGTTTTTTTAGTCTCTAATGTTTCGAAGTAAAAGTAATATATATCTTGTTGGTTTATAATATTCCTGCAAATTATGTGCTAATAGCCATTGATATCTTCTGTTTCGTGATATTGTGGTGCATATGGTTGTTGTGTGTTTTTGCAATTGAAGTCTTGAATTAATCTTCCATTATTTTCTTTACATTTCTCACAATGCTTTAAAAAACTTCTTTGGTTTTTCCTTTCTGGGTCATCACGGATAGAATATACTTCTTCTTTGCAAAAGGGGCAAACTTTATATCCTGTGAGTGCTTCAACGTCTGTAATTCTGTCAGCGTGAAGTTTTCCACATGGACTCTGTGTTAATAAATATTTACTGTTTCAAATTCTGGATCTATCATTATTGATTCCACTAATGGAAAGTCTACCTTATTTTGTCTACGTCTTCTGGTTGAGGGTCACAATAATAAAAATCAATATTAACGTTTAACATTCTTGCTAACCTCTCACTTTCTGATGAAATGTCAAATCCTTCATATGCATCTATGGCTTCATTTAAATAACTTCTACGAGTTTTAGGATTAACACCATCAGGAATGTTATAGAAGCGTTTAAATAACCTTCTACCTTCGGCTCTTATTTGATTATCATTCATTTTAGCTGTTCCGTTTTTGTTCATTTATGTAAGAATAAAAATTAAAAAATAAATAAAATAAACTTTATTTTTTTTAAAGTCCAGGGCTAAAGTCCATAAAATGAATTAAGAACACATAAATTTTTATCATCTGCGACGTGACGAATACATTTTAATTTACTCAAGAATGCGTACCCTGATACATTTAAATCTAATTCCTGTCTTATTTAATTTCACAACTTTGAAAAGGAATGTATGAATAGCTATAAAATGATGAGATGATGTTTTATGGGTTGCTTCCATTTTTTTGAAATAAATGAATAAATATATATGTTTATAAGTTTTCATATCTTTTATATTCTTAATAACGAATGGTATAGACCTTTCAACTTCGTCTTCCTTCGGTGCTGTTCTTTCATATGAAACATTATTAGTATCTTCAATAATGAAACCACAATCGCATAAAATTTTATATGTACCAATTGTTTCTTTTGATATTTTATCTAACAAATCAAAAACTTTATCAACACCTGCACATTTATTTAAAATAATAATTTGTGTAAATATCATGGTCTTCTTTCTTAATCGTATTTGTTGCATATGTTACATTTTTCAGTGCTTTTTTAATTTTTCAGAATCAAGAGGAGGTGAAAGTAATATACATGGATAATCTCCATCGTCAATAAATTGTAACTTATGTTTATGAATAAATTTTGTGCCTTCTTCTGAAAGTGTTTCATCTATTTCACCATCTAATAAATTTTTAGTAGATTCCAAAAAGTAATTTTTATATCTTTCTTCATGAGATTTTTGAACTTCTGATTCTGAAGCTGGGATATTCATTAAACCTCTACTTCATTCTCATTATATTTTTCAACTTCTCTTAATTCCTTAATTTTCATCTATTTCATCTCTTATTTTTTCCAGTCTTTCAATTTCATCATATTCATCATCATTTAATCCGTTCTTCATAATATTCAGGGAAAACATCAGGTTCTTTAGGTTTTTCTTTCTTCAGATGTGGGATATAAGAAATTTATAACATCATCTTTATTCATTTTTCCATCATAATCTAAATCATTTAATAACTCCGCGAATTTTTGACAATTTCTTAAATAATATTTATTAACTTCATAACTCGCCTCCTCTAATATATCCTTTATTTCCTCGTTTGTGAATCCCAATTTTTTAACGTCGTTAGTCTTGACACTCATTTTCATACGAATTAAAAAAATAAATTATTCAAAAAATGTAAGACATGAATTTTTAAAGTTTATTTTTCATTCATGAATGATAATTATATCTGATTTCTTTTACTCTCTCATACATACTAGATTTGAAGAATTCGGAACTTTTACCATAATCTCCTAAATGTTTTCTTATCCCCAACGTGTGCCAGTTATTATATGAAACTGAATAAACTTTATCTTTATCTTTACACCTTTCATCACTTCCAATATATTTATATCTCAGTTTTGATTTAGCATTTTCATATTCATTAACGTTTAATAATTCACAGTCTTCCTTTTTAAATTGATGTTTAAGATATTCAGGATTTAATACTCTACGTTTATATGCTCCTAACTTAGTTCTAAAGGTTTTTCTACAAAATTTAGGAATTCCATCCTCTTTAATGTCATCAATGATTTCCATTTCATTATTTTCAATTTCTTCTTCTCGTTTATGAGGTCTTTGATTATGACTCCATTGATTCCATGAAATTAAATATTCTTTATCATTATATTTATACCTCATTAGCTTATTTTGGCTTTCATATTCATTTAATAATTCACAATCTTCATTTTTAAATTGAAGTTTAACCCATTCAGGATTTAAACAATGTTTAATTAATCGCGGAATATCTGACATCATCTATATATAGCTTCTTTTATAAAAGATAAAAAAATAAATTATTTTAAAATTAATGTTAATTTTTTTAATGATTTATAAATAAATATATTTTAATGCATCGTCTATATATAGATGAAACAAAAAAAGTCACTAAACCCGCACTCATCTACTACTTAGAATTGAATCAAATTCATATATTGTGTTTATTTTCATTTTTTCTTCTGCAACATCTTCTTGCACGAGTTTAAAATAATTGGCCTTAATTCTTTCATTAATCATTAAACATTCATTTAACTAATAATGATTTATACAGCAATAATTCTTGAATAATACACGGATTTTGTAGATTGTATCTTAATTATGAAAAGGAACGTATAGTTGCTCTGACAAAGTAAATAAGTTCTTCTTATAACTGACTTATTTTCTCAATAATTATGTATCAAAAACTTTTTTTAACTTTTAATTCAATCAATAAGCCATTCTGATGTTGATCCTAATAAACAGTAGATCAATACATAAACAGATAATGCCAAAATGTCTTTAACATGAAAAAGAATAGAATAATCGCCAAATAATATCAAATGGTTCAGGAAAAGGACCAATCAAATAAAATTATCCCCTATCATTGTACAATAAATCAAACGTCATAATGCATGATTTTAGTAGCATATTAGAATGTTCTCAATCAATCTTCTTATAAAGTGATTGTTAGCATCTATGCGTACATTATCTAAGTAAATATTATCCAATTTAGGTCATGCAACTTTTACATTTTTCATCATTCACTCAATTTTTTTTTGATCCAATCTTTATAGATTTTCGAATGTATAGGTGCATGACAAACCTGTCACCACGTGACAAAGGTGTCACCAAAGGGTTATTATCATATATAAAGTTAATATTTTTGGTGAGAAAAAAGATACATTAATTAATTGTATTGAACCTAATACGGATCTAATGTAAAATCTGTTTCAGTTTGATTGTTTTGGTCTTTGTTTTGTTGTTGAGGTTTTTGATCATTGTTTTTATGTTTTTTCGTTCTTCTTGGAGTTTTTGATTCTTCTGTTTTGCTTTATTGATATTCTCTCAATTTTTTTGGGATATAAGCTTTATATCCCAATTTTCTAAGGTAAAATGCTAATATATTTTGTCTGAAAAAGTTATAAGTCACTATATAGTGCCTAGTATGATTGTTATACTTTTTGCTATTCTAAAAAAGATGTATTGATATTGTGAGAACATAAGCACACTCTTAAAAATGTCTTATATTTAGTTTTTTATTTATTTATATTACAAACAAAAAAATATTTAAAGAAGTTCTTTGACATCTTTTGCGACTTTCTCGAAGTCAATTGTGTAGTTAGATTGCATAGACCACTCTGGATAGCACTCCCAATCACCGCAAAAACACTCATCTGTCTTTGAATATGAATATATCTTTGCAGGTACATTTTTAGAGTATTTGTCTAGCCATCTGTTGCAGGAGTATTCAGGAGGAGTCAAATCAACAACAACAGAACCTTCATTCATGAAAATAGTGTGAACTAATGTAGAAATGTGGTCACTGATGAAAATTTTCGCTGTGCTTGCGATACTCGATGCTTCTTGAACGGGAGTGATGTAGTTTATCTTCGAAATAGTGTAGTTAGGGAAGTATTCTTTTGCAAATGACTCGAATTTCTCTGTTGTAACAATCACATTTTCGATCATTGGATTAATTTTCATTCTTTGTCGGAAATTCGAGAAATTTGAATTGATACATTCATTAATAAGTCGTTGGTCTTCCGAAAATGATATATTTGTCTTCATTTTCGGTACAAATACGTTTTCATAACAAGTATTATTCGTATAGAACTCCATTGGACGGTTTCCGAAAGGCTTTAATAACTTCTTAGTCATAGCTGATGGTTCTTGGAGGTAAACAAATTGAATTTCACCTGAATCAATCGCATTCATCATTGAAAACGCTTCAGAAATAGGATTGTAGTTGAAAAGAAGCTGTTTCCATGGATGCATATTGAAATCTGATAGGAATATTACACCGCCTTTGACTTTATTCGATTTAAAATGTTCTGCAAAGTGTTTAAACGGACATTGGAAGTAAGTGAAGTTTAGGAAGTAGTTAGATATGTTTGTGAGATTGAAATTTTCTATTGTGTCTATGAAAAATGGAGTTTTTTCTTCGATGTAGCATATATTTCGGAAATGATTTGGTTTTCCGTAAGGAAATGCAATTGTACTGTATTTATAATTGAAATTGCGTATGTAGGAAAGATTCAAGTCGTATTTAGCTATCTGTTTCTGTCCGCAATTGATATGAAAAGTGCCTTCAGCTGCCATTGGGAGATATAGTGAAAAATTAACGAAAGAATGATCCATTGTGATGTTGTCAATGTTAATACCTGTGTAATTATATGTTAGGCGCCTATTATAGAAATCTCCGTGAATAAAATGCGGCAAATATTCTGGAATGAACTCTATTGATTCATGGTATGTAAGAGACATGTATATTTTGCCATCATCATTTGTAAAATTTGCTAAATCTACTTCTGTGCAGTCGACTGTATTAATTGGTTCATAAAATGGAGGAGAAGGCGAACCAGGGTCAACCAAATAAAACAGTACTGCTAAGACAGCACCAATTACGAATGTATAAGGCATGAAATTCGAATTATTTGACTGCTTCCCTTCATTATCTGGCGCATCAAACATCAAAAATGAACAAATAATAAACAATTCGTAATATTTTGCATAAATTAATGTTATCTATTGATTAAAGACATGTAAAATGAAATCTCAATATAATCTGATAAACTTCAATTTTACAGATCATTGATTGTATATTTGTTGCTCACATATGTATGGAAATATGATGTTATAGTTACTCATGAAAACAAAGTTATATTTTACTAAAATACAAATACAAAAAAACAATTTATTAATATAAACATATTAATTACTGAGCATTACCCGCATTCTCATCTTCTCTTCTATGTCCTTCGAACCAAACCTTTGAAAGTTTCTTCAATCTCTGAGCTCTTGTGTTGTTTTGCCTCATAATTGCAGCTCTTGGGGCCCATGAAGTTCCTCCACTTTGTCTTGTTGCAGAAATTTGGCCACTTCTTCCTGATGATCCACTTCCGTTATGTTTTCTATGCTGTGCAGCTCTTCTCATCAAAGCAACAGTCTCAGGAGCCAGCTGGTGATTATCTCCTCCGTCTTCTGTTGGCTGTGGAGGAGTTTCTGGAGCAGGATTATTATTATTTGTTTGTTGAGGGGAAGAAGGAGCTTGTCTCTTAGAAGAAGCTGATGAGGAAGTAGAATTAGTTGATTGCCTGGCCGCTTCTTGCCTTTTCTGCTTTAATCTCTTCTCAATTTCAGCTCTAACCTTTGCCATTTGAGCTGTTTCATCTTGTGGCTCTCCTATTATCGATTTCTGGACACCAAGCTTTTCTACATCGAAATCTGATGATACAGGTACTGTTCCAGCGTCTAAAACAATATCTTCTGTCACTTTTTGTAGAGATGTCACTTTTTCTTCGAATTGGGAACTTTGTTGAGGGTCAGCTAATCCATCCAAGAATTCATCGAAGTCGCTATCACTAACACCTTCATATTTATTAATCCAGGATGTATCAATATCAGCAACATCAGGTAATCTTTCTTGCATAAGCCTTCTCTTCCGCATTTCTTCCTCTTTCTTCTTACGAAGAGCTTCTTCTTTGATCATCTGCTCTTTTGCTTTGACCGCTAAGTACTTTCTTACATAAAATTGCAATTTTAATGCTGCATAAGCCTTCTTTGCCTTTTCTAGCTTCATTTTGTCCTCCTTTTCCTTCTTCTTTCTTCTCTCTTCCTCTTCCTTTTGCTTCTGTTCTGCAAGTTTGTTCTTCATTCTGATATCAAATTTCCTCTTCCATTTGTGAAGCTTCAGAGCCTGTTTAACCATATTAACTCTCTTTAGTTTTGCTATTTCTAGCATTAACTTGATGAATAATGTAAGTCTGATGAGAGATTTCGATTTTTTAATTTGTAATTTCTGTTTAAGAGCTTCTTTGACCTTGTTTTGGAATGATTTATTAACATTAGACATAAATGTCTTTGATTCATGCGTTTTCGTTTTTGTGAGTTTTAATTTCTCCGTAATTAAGTCAACAACAACGATTGGTTTCTTTTGAGGGACAATTTCGGCCAATTTATCGGCTATTTGTTTCTGGAATTGAGAAATCTGTTGAAGCATCTTTTCTCTTCTTTCTTGTTCTTTCTGCAAAGTTGCGAAAAATTGTTTCGATTGTTCTTCGAGTTCTTTCTGTTTCCTTTCTGCTTCTTTCGCTGCTTCTTCTTCTCTTTTCTTCCTTTCTTCTTGGAATTTGTTTGATAATCTGTCTGTTTCGTCTAAAGACTTAAGAACTGACTTTGGCTCTGATAATTTCTTGACGTAACGCCCAAAGAACGATTTCTTTTGGGGTTCTTCTTGTTTGGTAGTTGGAATTAAAGGTTTTTCGTTACTAATTCTCGATGATGGTTTTGATGAATCTGATTTCTTGGTATTTTCTTCTTCTTTTTCTTCTGGAATGTCTGCTTGCGTGATTTTGATTTGAGGTAGCAGTCTAACCGCAGGTACAGATACATGATCTTCTGGAATTTCAATTGTATTTGGATCAATTCTATCAGATTTTGTAATATCTTCAATGAATTGTGAAATATCTTCCGCTTTTTCTGTTGTATTAAGTAATGATTTAACAATATTCTTGACACGATTTGCTTGAACATATTCTGGAGTGCTTAAACGCTTTCTTTCTTCATCAAGATTCTCTGGAGTATCAGGTAATTGCTCTTCAACTTTGTCTGCTTTTGCTTCTTTGATAATTGGGTCGTTTTGATTTTCATCAATTAGTTGTGATGTTTCATTTATAAGATTTTTTAATCGTTCGTGTATCTCTTTATCTATAGAGTCTGCTTCTATTGTCGGTTTTAGTAATTGCTCAAACAATTCTTTTTCATCTTCAGTCTTTTCTGGAATTGGCTCAGGTTTGGCATCCAAAAAGGACCAATCATCGAGGTCTTCGTTCGGATCAATTCCATATAACTCGAAGTCTTCTTCCAAGTTAATGGAATAGCGAACGCGCGACATCAAATTGATGAAAAATATAGACTGAAATTAATAATTTTCCGAAATATACGCTATTTACATGCACAATAAGCTATTTTATTCATTATCATTGAGTTTTATATTTCAACGTACATAAAATTTTCTTTATAAAATTTTTTGAGAACGCAAAATTTTTGACAAATCATTTGATTGCTCTGTATTTTATTCTGCATACGCATCAAAAATATTTTCCTTGACAGTTAATTGCTAGTTTTATGCGATCAAATTTATAAGAACGCGATTATTGAATCAAAATTGTTGATAATGAGTGATTTTCAAGACATTAGATTTCCTTAATATACTAAACCCTTTACTTTGCTACTCAAATAGTTTAAATACATTGACTTTTACTACGATATAATCGAAATTATAACATTTGAAATTTTATTATTTACATTTCAGTTAGATGGACTACGATCCAATCAGTACCATTGTGTTGGAAAGTTCACAGTATAGCAACGAAAAAGCATCATACTATAAATCAAAAGAAATTATCAAATATGATATACATACAAGAGCTCGGAATCTGAGGATTGAATTCTATTTTTCCAATGCAATTGTTTTGTATCATAAATAATTTCGCATATTCTTGATCTAATGGAAAGATCCTTCATATCTTAAGTTTTTATTTCTTAATTTTATAAATTAGACGTATTTTCATATGTGGAAGCAGATTATAGTTGATTAAACTAAATTTGAGAACAGCACGCTCAGAAAAATCTGTCAATTTATGAGATCATCAAATACATCGAAGATTCGATCAGAGAAAATTGTTCTCATTGGCGCTCCTTCATCGGGAAAGAGCTCAATTGCTAACAGAATTATCAATGGAACATTCGCACCGAATCAAGAAGCAACAATTGGCGCTGCATTCAATTCAAAGATAACCAAAGTAGACGACACTGATATCAAATTGGATATTTGGGATACAGGTGGCTCTGAAAAGTACAGATCCTTGGTTCCAATGTATTTCCGTGATGCCAGAGCTGCAATCGTAGTTTTTGATACAACAAATGAACAGTCATTTGTCGAAGCAAGAGATTGGATTGCCGAATTTAGAGAAAGAGGAATGCCAAACGCTCTTATTTTTGGCGCTGCAAACAAAATCGATTTAGTTGAAAGCAGAAAAGTTAGTACTGAAAAGATTAAAGAATTTGCAGAGAACCACGGCTTTGCTTTCATGATAGAAACATCTGCTTTGAACGGAGTAGGTGTCAATGAACTTTTTACCGAGATCGCTCGCCAGTTGTTGTCCATCAAAACTGAAAAAGATAATATTCAGACATCAGGAGATATCGATTTAGAAGAAACAACTCCTCAACAAAAATCATGCGGCTGCTAAAACTCAAATAACAACAACCAATATTTCAACGTTAAACATTGTTAGCCAATAATTCATTTTTAGTGTAAACATAAAATCTATTCCAATATTATTTTTTATAATTTTATATTTCTTTTACGAATTACAATAATTATAACACAATCATCCTTCTCAGCCAGGATACAAATCAAGCCTATAGTTAAAATCCTTCCATTTTATAAATTACTATTTTTTTATTTGAAATGTAACTATTATTGATCTCACAATAAACTTAAATTACTTTCTATTAAGTATCCAAAATATGTGGTAACAAAGCAGCTCATTAAAAAGAAAATAATATTTGGTATTTTTATTTATTAGAGTAATTTTTCATATCTCATATCATACAACTCAATACATAAACATCTGTGCGAAATTATGATACATGATCCTTCAAAAAGCAATGGCTATCCTCCATTTTGATGAAATGGCGGGCAACTTCATTTCGCAGATGGACGATGTTGGATTAATGAATTCATCTACACTATGAACCATAGTTAAATCCATGTGTAATCCCAATCAAACAATTATAATTGCGGGAAACTAAATTTGGCGCCAAAAAGTGAAATTGATTTGGCTCTAAAAATTCCGTAGAATGTCTGGGATTCACATTAAGAGGGTCACGATTCATGGATTTAAATCTTACAGTGATACAGTTACATTCGGACCTTTCTCACCAGGCACAAATGCTGTAGTTGGCCTCAACGGTTCTGGTAAGTCTAACTTTTATAATGCTATTGAGTTCGTTTTATTGGACGAATTCGATCATCTTAGGCCAAGCGTAAAGAAAAGCTTGTTACATGAAGGCCAGGGCGTATCAAGTCCAACAGCTTTCGTTGAAATAGTTTTCTCGAATGAATCTAGAGTAATTCCGATCGAAAAAGATGAGATTTCAATCCGCAGATCTATATCATTACAGAAAGATGAGTATTTCATTGATAGAAAGCATTCAACAAGACAAGACGTTAGAAATATCCTTGAGCAATGCGGATTTTCTCCAGCTAGTGGTTACTACATCATCAAGCAAAGCAAGGTAACATCGCTTACAACAATGACTGACGCTCAACGCCTTGATTTACTTTTGGATATTGCTGGTGTTAAAGTTTATGATACACAGCGTGAAGAATCCGTTAAGATTATCGCTCAGTCAATGGAACGTAAGAAGAAGATCGAAGATTCTTTGGAATACATCAATAACCGTCTCAAAAAACTTGACGAAGAAAAAGCAGAACTTGAGGAATTCAATGAACTTGACAAGAAGCGTCGCGCTATTGAGATATTGATCCAAGATCGCTCTTCCCGCGAAAATCAAATTGAAATTGAAGCAAGAAACGAAGAACTCCAAGTACAAACAACAGCCTTGGCATCCATCCGTACTGAATATACAGAAAACCAGACCGAAGTCCACAATCTTACTGATGAATTAACAAATACCAAAATTAAAGAGAAACTCTGTCTCCAAGACAGGAACAATCTTCAACAGCAAGAGACAGATCTCATCAAACAACATGAAAGAGCCCAACTCAAGGCCTCAAAATACGAAGAAAAGCTGAAAACAGCAGAAATCGAAATCCAAGATAAGAAATCTAAGCTTGAGAAGATTGAAGAAGAGATTTCCAACGCCAAGAACCAAGAAGAAGAGTATACAAAGGAGTTTGACGAAGTTTCCCAACACAAAGCTGAAATTGAAGGTCAATTATCAGTTTTACAGTCACTTTGCGCCGGCCAATTAGAAGATATCGACAATGTCAATGCCGAACTCAAGGCTGCTAAGAAAGAAATCGAGAAATTCCAGAAAGAAGTCACTTCTCAAGAGAAATCTGTCACAAAAGCGAAGAATCAGTTAGATCAGGCACTCAAACAGAGATCATCCTTTGTAGATGAGTTCAAGAAACTCAAAGAAGGCCAGAAAAAGTTGACAGAAAAAAGAAATGAATTATTAGATGAGAGAAAACTCAACTGGTCAAAGCAATACTCGCTTGAAAAGGAGCACCATGACATCAAGAAGCATCTTAACGAGCTCCAAGTCAAGGCAACAAGGTCAGCAAACAGCGATGTTGCAAATGGCATTGATTACATCAAGAAGAACAAGTTTGATGGCTTCCTTGGTGTTGTAATCGACTTAATAGAGGTCGACCAAGAAGCAACAGTCGCTGCAAGCGTCATTGGAGGCAGAAGATTGTATTATATTATTGTTGATACAGTTGAGAACGCCAAGAAGCTTACAAAGAAGGTTTCCGAACAGAAGAACTGCAGCTGCTCCACAATTGTCCTTGAAAAAGTCAATCCTTCGAACAAAGAACTTCCTGAAGGCGTAGATCCACTTTTGAACCACATCCACTACGACGAAGAGTATCAGAAGGCCATGGAATTGATCTTCGGAGGCTACGCATTGACTTCTAGTTTAACTGAAGCAAATCAAATTTCAGAATCTAAGAAAGTCAACTGCGTAACAATCGAAGGTGAAACAATCTTGAGCAGTGGTATCATGAACGGCGGATCCGCTAATCTAAACAGATCTCCTTTGATCTTATCCACTCAAATCAACGCAAAAACAAAAGATTTACAAAAAGTGAAGGAAGATTTGAAGGAATTGAATGAAAAAATCCAAGGAATTGAGGACGAAATCAAGAAATGCGATACAGACATTGCCGGAAATGAGAAGCAGTTGACCGAATGCAGAGCCAGAGAGGTAACTGTGAAGAGCGATGTCGAAAAAGCAAGAACAGAAGTAGATAATGCACAGAAAGAATTAGAAATCAAGCAAAACCAGTTCTCAGACATGAAATTGCACTTGAACAGTATAGAACAGAGATTACAAGCCCTCCAAGAACCAAAAGGAGAAGCAGATGACGAAACTCGTGCAAAAGTCAGAGAATTATTAGATCAAAGAGTCGAAATCGACTCCCAAAGACTGAAACTAATCCAGTTGCGTTCCATTCTTAGACAGAGAATGAGAGACGTCTTAGTTCCTCAACAGCGCCAGATTTCAGATCAAATTGCCGAACTTGATCCATCTAGAATCAAGCAGAAGCTCAAGCAAAGCGAGCAGAAGTCTAAGGACTCTGAAAAGAAGCTCAACCAGGTCAACCAGCGCCAGGAGAAAATCAATCAAAAACTTAATGAAATTTCAGAGGAAATTAATCGTCTCTCTAACAAAATTGAGAGTCTCAAAAACGATCAGACGAAAATGGACAAAAAGATCTCACAATACCAAAGCACAATAGATAAAATCCATCAGAGGCTTGCTTTACTCGAACAACGCCAAGAAGATATCAAGAATGAGTCGATGTCCATTGGCGCTTATCCTGAGGACGAAATAAAGGAGTACGAAGACCTTTCCATGTCCCAGTTGTACAATCAGCTTCATGAAGTTAACGAATCTCTCCAAACATTCAGATTTGTTAACAAGAAGGCCATAGAACAGTACCAATCCTTCAGCAGCCAGAGGGAAGAGCTTGAGAGAAGAAAGGAAGAGATAGAAACATCAGGAAACTCAATTACTTCTCTCATTGCAAATCTTGATTTCAAGAAGAACGACGCAATCGAACATACATTCGCCCAAATATCAGATAACTTCGCAAAGATATTCCAGGAGCTCGTGCCAACCGGCCAAGGCGTTCTTTCCCTCTTAAAGAATCCAGATGATGACAATAAAGCTGTCGGAATCGGTATCAGAGTCAGATTTGGTGACAACACTGAAGAAGTCGGCACCGCTGCAACATCAATGATGCAGTTGAGTGGTGGACAACAGTCATTAGTTGCATTGGCTCTTGTATTCGCCATTCAGAAGTTCTCACCAGCTCCTTTCTACCTCATGGACGAATCAGATGCTGCTTTGGATCCAAACCACAGAAAGGCAGTTGCAGATCTGATCACAAAACTATCAAAGCCGCAAGATGACGTGGCCCCAGCTCAGATTATTCTGACATCGTTCAAACCAGAACTGTTGGAGAGCTGTGAAAAATTGTTTGCTATTGTACAGGAAAAGAATCACTCTGTTGCTAAGGAAGTCAAAGTTGATGAGGCTTTAACTATTGTCAATGAACGTGAAAACGCTTAAAGATTTATAAAATATTAATATTTTTTTTGGAAATTTTCTTTCTTTTTTAATTAGATTACAGAACTAATTTACATGTGGACATTACCAATGATATTCCTCAAACTCAATACGCTTTTGTGAGCTAATCAATAAAATGAATTTATTTTTCCTTCTAATATGAGGATTTCTCTTAGGTGACTTGAGGATATAGATGAAGTCAAAATGGCTATTGCCAATTGGCTAATATTCTTCAACTATTTAATCATATTGTTGTTATTTGCTAATGAATTAGATAACAACAATGATATAACATTTATATAACCTTTCATTCAAAAAACAGTGTGAATCAAATCATTGTTTAGAACCTTGCATTCAAATTTTTGAAACCGATAAAGTGATAGTTACTAATCTTCTGTTTTTCATAACATCGCATTATTTTTCAAAAAAATCCTTTAATCGTCACTTGGACCAATTTTCAATATAACTTTGAAAGATTTTCAAAATTGAGGCGTATCGAATTTTTAATGTATCAAATTATCATTTGATTTATGTGTGTTAATTAAATATCTCAAAAATTAAATTTAATATAACATTTCCCACTTTCAATTTTCATGGAAGAGGAAGATACAAATGAATTGCCTTCCCTATGGAATGGTACATGGGATTGCTTGATCGTATTTCTCATTTTACATGTAGGATACATGATCGGTACAAATGCATTTCCAGAGATGGTTTCAATTGAATCAACATCTCACTATATTGGCAAATATATGCCTTTTATCTTTCGCGAATTACCAAAGTATTGCACTCTCACAGATTGGCTTGATATAGATTATGTGAGAAAACAGTTGGATTCAGTTAATTATTCACGATGTTCTCTTTGCAATACCCTCACAAGACAAAATGATTCGGATTCAACCAAACGAAACTTAATACTCGGTTTTGCAATGGGACATAAGCAATACAATTTAATTACAATGGCTCGAACACTGAGAACTGTTTCAAGTAAAGCTACATTCATAATATTTGTTGATAATACGATGTTTTCAAGTACATTATCCTATTCAGAGCTAGAAGAATTGAAAAAATGCGGAGTAATTTTATTTAATATCGGCAGTACTATTAAATACAGGGATATTCCTGAGATAACAAGCAGATTTGTATTATTTTCTGCATTCCTCCATAAGTTTTCTTCCGATTTTGATAGAGTTATCATGGCTGACTTATATGATACATATTTCCAACAAGATCCATTCTGTAAGGCATTTTCACTTACAACTGGTTTCCATGCCACTGCAGAAAATGTACAAATCTTATCAAGTCCACCAAATAGACAGTGGATCTCGCAACATGATCCTAATTTCTCATATGAAAAGTATCGAGGCCGTAAAGTTATCAATGGCGGACTCCAATATGGTGATATTAAGTCAACACTTACTTTTCTTGAAAGTTATATTGATTATAACTTTTGGTTCAATTATTCAAGAGGTAAAATGGAACAAGCAATGATGAATATTATGTATGTAGAAGGAAGACTTCCAAAATGTTTCATTCCTGATTATGATGCGAGTATTATGATCTCTGCAACACATTGGTACTTTGATCGTGAACCAAATAAGTTTGGAATGTTCAAAACTAATGGAGTTTACCCTGTAACAATTCACCAGTACAACAGAATCACTCCAATTAGAAATTATCTTCCAAAACTTTGTCCTCCACTTGGTAATTGGCAGAAGAATCCATTTGGCCATCATACGTTTACGACACAATACTAATTTTGTTTGTTAAAATGAATAAATATCTTTTATAAATCGAACTTATTTTTCATCGGACACATTTCTATTTTATCAATTGTGTCCAATGTAATTTTGCAAATTTATCATATAGGACATCATATTAAAAAAATCCAAAATAGAATAAAAAATGTCACTCCAATTGGAGTTCATTCTAATAAGAAAACTAAAGGTTGTGTTTCTTCAATAAGTATTGCATCAAGAGAAAAGTAGTTAAATATTCAATTCAATTCGGATGTAAGAAAAACTGATAAAAACAAAAGATGGCCATTTTGAAGTTATTGAATATTTAGTTTCAATTCGAGCTATTCTTATTGATAAAGACAATGGAGGTAATGCTCCACTTGACTATGCAAAGGAATCAAAATGAAAAAGAATCATGAATTTTCTTATTCAAAATAGAGCACAATAAACTTGAAATCATATACTTTGTGTCTGTAAATCAAAATTTGATTGTATTTAAATGTTTACGCCCGTATGACATGACCTTCAATTCTGTTGCTTAAGGTTAATTTTCAATTATGCTTCGCGCCCGTTACCATACTGATACAAATATCCTATACGAGACTAAGTATGCGGGTGCTGCCATAAGCCATGTAGTTGATTTCATTGATATAAGAAATGAGGAACACAAATAAACACATCCTTTTCAGTTTATTGCTAAATATTATTAGTAATTAGGAAGATAATTAGGAATTGTGGTCAAATTATAAATAATTGCTTATTTATATTTCAATATTACTTTATGATTACTCAATTTCGATAAATGTGGATTTTTTTTGAATTATCACTTTTACGATTTGACCACTCAGTAGTTTGCTCAAGGCAAACCCAAATTTTAGCTAAAAGTGACAGGAAAAAAAACGTTTAGTATTAAAAAAAAGACCGATGAGAGCTTCGTTCGAAATATAGAGGGAACTGAGAATGCGCAACCATTCTCAGGGAATATTGGATGCTATTCCCGTTCCCTCTGTATGGAAAATTGAGGTTTTCAAAGGGAGTTAAAATAATATCAAATTTATACTAATTTACTTCAAAATACAAAAGTATTTGACAGCTAAAATTAGTTACTTTAGCAAGCCTATCAATACCCTTTTACGATTATTGTTACTTTTTCGAAATAAAAGTAAAAACAAATTTATACTAATTTACTTCAAAATACAAAAGTATTTGACAGCTAAAATTAGTTACTTTAGCAAGCCTATCAATACCCTTTTACGATTATTGCTACTTTTTCGAAATAAAATAAATTTATTATCAAAAACCTTTTTTTCTTAGTAAAAATAAAAATGTTATTTTATATCAAGTTTTTATTCATAAATTTTTATAATGTTGTATAAATTTCATTAAAATTTACGTACATATTAAGGTACTTATCTTCTACATATATAATCTTCATTAGATATATACATGATAAATAAAATTCATAAAACATGAAAAATCAAAAAATTAGATGAACCTTGGCAATTAAACTTTATTAAATAATAGTTGTTTATAAATTATATTATATTATTATTTAATATTATTTTGATAATGAAGATTTTATTTTGCAATAATATAAACGAAATTTTTTACCTTATGAACTTTTGATGGAAATATGCAAATTTAAAATAATAAAGAAAGCCGCGAGCGAAGCGATCGGCTTAGTTCGAAGATTTTGATTCAAATCTTTGCTGATCTGTAATTCGCGGAAGCCGCGAGCGAATCGAGCGGCTTAGGTCTAAGATTTTGATTCAAATCTTTGCTTATATTCCTTAAATTCTTTATGAAACTCGCAACAGTTCCATAAAAAATTTTAAATTCTAAACTGTCGAAATTACCGATCGGTAATCACACCCTTCATGGGTGTGTCACTTTTTACAGGTGTGTCACTTTTAGCTAAAATTACCCCTACTCGTCTGCTCAATAAATCGATTTTATCGGCATAAATTTCATGTTTAAAATTAGATTCTAAGCACAACTAGATGATTATATCAAAATTGATTTTTATGAACTTTTGAAATAAAGATTTCTTCAGAATTAAAAATTTTTCAAAATTTTTAAGATTTGATTAATCCATTTTCTGCTATTACTTATAGAAATTATATTTTTTCTTATTCGGCTCCAAAATTTTATAACTCTATTCACAGCGGTGTCAAACCAAAACCGTCCGCGGGAAAATAACCATTGCAAAAATTTATGAAGTCTAAGTCGTTTGATAACCTACAAGCTATTTTAACACATCCAACATGCACCCTTATTACACTTCTTCAACAAGAAGATTTAATTCCGGCAATTCAATTACGCGCAAGTGAAATAACAAATTATCTCTCCGACCATATCCAAGAATTTTTCGATATCGTATTTGATTCGAAAGATCGATACCCTAAAGTTGTCAAAGAGAAAGCCAGATCCTGTCTAACTTCAAGACTTTCATTCTATAGTCCAGAATTGCTTAATGATGTAATAACACATTTAATGCAGTACATTAGGCAAGAAGGCAATCACTGCGAATTTGGAATCGTTTCTTTTACGAAAATTCTTTATTATTTAATAAGAAATACAAATAGCGGTGTTCTTGAGCGTTATGACACCACGGTCAACTTAATTCAAGAGCTATTTAGAAAAGTACAACATCCTGCTATCTTAGACCTTCTTATTTTCATCACAAACGATCATCGACAACATACAGCGAATTTCATTCGTAAAGTCGGAGCCGCCAAGTTCCTAACAAGTTTTACTGACACAGAGGGACCTTTGTGTGAGTATTCCCTCCTTCTTCTTCGCAACATTATCATAAATCCTGAAAATTTTACTCAACTTCAACTGTTTGAAGACTCGAGAATCTTTGAAAGAATCTTCCAACTCGCTCTTAGTCAGAACCCCAGCATTTCCAGATACTCATTTCAGATAATTAATGACGTTATTAACACATATATGTATGATGATGAAGAAACACGATCAGAGAACAAAATTTACAATTCAACATGGTATATTATACTTAAAAACATACCAAATATTGTGGAAAGAATCACTTCCGCGCCCATCTACCAAATATATCTTGATCCAGCCCTAAATTTGCTTACAAACATCTCCAAAGCAGGTGAAGATGTCACGAACAAGCTTGTTATGATCGCAAAATACACTTTCCGCCAACTCCAAAAATATCCAAATCATTCCAAGGTCCATAGTGTATTTTTGACCATTCTGCACTCAATAGAAAAGATGCAGGATGAAGATATCTTCTACAATTTGATCAGAGACCTCAAATTAAGAGAGGCCATAATAGATGCTTACAGATCGGAGACATTTAACGTCAACAGAGCTTTCTTCCTCGAGTTCGCTGATATTATCAACAAGAAGGACTCTAAAAACGGAAGAACGGCCACTCCGGATTGGAATTCCTTCATAAACAACGAATACAAGCACACAAAGGAGCTGATTCGTAGTCCTTATGGTGGACCAATGCCATCCGCTGAAGCTTTCGAAGAAGACGAAGATTGTTACGAATCAAGGGAAAATAGCATTGACGAAAATGCGAAAGAGGACGCAATTAAGATTTTTGGCCATGATTATTTGATAGAATGCGAAGATTTGGAAGAAGATGAAGATTTTGAAGAAGAAGATTTCGTTTTTGAAGACGATGAGTAATTTTTTTATTATGTATATATTTTTTTGTTTATATTTTATTACGTTTTAAATTATGTTTATTATATATTTTTTTTAATATTGAAATTATTCATTTTATTTTGGAGGCATGTTGCTTTATTGTGTAAAAAGCCTTGTTGGATCATGTTTATATTTCTTGCAATACAAACATGTTTCACGTTTATATTTCTTGTAATACAAACATGTTTCATGTTTATATTTCTTGCAATACAAACATGTTTCACGTTTATATTTCTTGCAATACAAACATGTTTCATGTTTATTTTTCTTGCAATACAAACATGTTTCACGTTTATATTTCTTGTAATACAAACATGTTTCATGTTTATATTTCTTGCAATACAAACATGTTTCATGTTTATATTTCTTGCAATACAAACATGTTTCATGTTTATTTTTCTTGCAATACAAACATGTTTCACGTTTATATTTCTTGTAATACAAACATGTTTCATGTTTATTTTTCTTGCAATACAAACATGTTTCATGTTTATTTTTCTTGCAATACAAACATGTTTCACGTTTATATTTCTTGTAATACAAACATGTTTCATGTTTATATTTCTTGCAATACAAACATGTTTCATGTTTATATTTCTTGCAATACAAACATGTTTCATGTTTATTTTTCTTGCAATACAAACATGTTTCACGTTTATATTTCTTGCAATACAAACATGTTTCATGTTTATTTTTCTTGCAATACAAACATGTTTCACGTTTATATTTCTTGTAATACAAACATGTTTCATGTTTATATTTCTTGCAATACAAACATGTTTCACGTTTATATTTCTTGCAATACAAACATGTTTCATGTTTATTTTTCTTGCAATACAAACATGTTTCACGTTTATATTTCTTGTAATACAAACATGTTTCATGTTTATTTTTCTTGCAATACAAACATGTTTCACGTTTATATTTCTTGCAATACAAACATGTTTCACGTTTATATTTCTTGCAATACAAACATGTTTCATGTTTATATTTCTTGTAATACAAACATGTTTCATGTTTATTTTTCTTGCAATACAAACATGTTTCACGTTTATATTTCTTGCAATACAAACATGTTTCACGTTTATATTTCTTGCAATACAAACATGTTTCATGTTTATATTTCTTGCAATACAAACATGTTTCATGTTTATATTTCTTGCAATACAAACTGTCTTCACCTTTGTAAGAGCATGTCAGAAAGAGTTAAATGTATCCTTACTAATATTTAAATAATCGTTTTTGTGTATTTTTTGCACCCAATGTAAAACCCTCAATTTCATGCAAAGAATTTTTGAAATTTTAAGGCTGCACTTACACTCATCTGATTTTAATTCAAATTTCTGATAACCGGCGTGAAGCGTCATTTAAAATTAACCTTAAACATTCGAATTGAAAGCCGTGTCATAGGGGCATAAGTGCACCCTTAAGGAAAAAATTCAATAACCAAATTAAATTAAATGTTATTTATTTTAATTCGTTAATAGCTTCTCGAAAATACTTTTGAGTCGCGCATTTAGATAAAGAATTATTTGGTATTAGTAGCACCATGTTCAACTAAGAATTTGACAATTTCTGATGAATTATCTTTGATTGCAATACTAAGAGGGCATTCATTAATATTATGAGAATTTTATAAAACAATGATAAATATGAAAAGAAAGAGAATTCTATAAAATAATAATAAATATGTAAAGAAAGAGAATATAATAAAACAATGATAAATATGAAAAGAAAGAGAATTCCATAAAATAATAATAAATATGTAAAGAAAGAGAATGTAATAAAACAATGATAAATATGAAAAGAAAGAGAAATTCATAAAGAAATGATAAATATGAATAGAAAGAGAATAAGTTCTTTGTTAACATCAGCACCATGTTCAACTAAGAATTTGACAAATTCTACTGAATTATCTTTGATTGCAATACTAAGAGGACATTCATTAATATTATGAGAATTTTATAAAACAATGACAAATATGAAAAGAATGAGAATTCTACAAAAGAATGATAAATATGAAAAGAAAGAGAATGTAATAAAACAATGATAAATATGAAGAGTAAGAGAATTCTATAAAACAATGATAAATATGAAAAGAAAGAAAAATTCATAAAACAATGATAAATATGAAAAGAAAGAGAATTCTATAAAATATTGATAAATATGAAAAGAGAGAGAATTATATAAAACAATGATAAATATGAAAAGAAAGAGAGAAAGTTCTTTGTTAACATCAGCACCATGTTCAACTAAGAATTTGACAATTTCTATTGAATGATTTAGGATTGCATAACTAAGAGGGCATTCATTAATATGGTGAGAATGTTATAAAACAATGATAAATATGAAAAGAAAGAGAATTCTATAAAATATTGATAAATATGAAAAGAAAGAGAATTCCATAAAAGAATGATAAATATAAAAAGAAAGAGGATGTAATACAACAATGATAAATATGAAAAGAAAGAAAATTCCATAAAAGAATGATAAATATAAAAAGAAAGAGGATGTAATACAACAATGATAAATATGAAAAGAAAGAGAATTCCATAAAAGAATGATAAATATAAAAAGAAAGAGAATTCCATAAAATAATAATAAATATGAAAAGAAAGAGAATTCCATAAAAGAATGATAAATATAAAAAGAAAGAGGATGTAATACAACAATGATAAATATGAAAAGAAAGAAAATTCCATAAAAGAATGATAAATATAAAAAGAAAGAGGATGTAATACAACAATGATAAATATGAAAAGAAAGAGAATTCCATAAAAGAATGATAAATATGAAAAGAAAGAGAATTCCATAAAATATTGATAAATATGAAAAGAAAGAGAATTCCATAAAAGAATGATAAATATAAAAAGAAAGAGGATGTAATACAACAATGATAAATATGAAAAGAAAGAGAATTCCATAAAAGAATGATAAATATGAAAAGAAAGAGAATTCTATAAAACAATGATAAATATGAAAAGAAAGAGAATTCCATAAAACAATGATAAATATGAAAACAAAGAGGATGTAATACAACAATGATAAATATGAAAAGAAAGAAAATTCTATAAAATAGTGATAAATATGAAAAGAAAGAGATTGCGTTTCATGTTGACATCAGCACCATGTTCAACTAAGAATTTGGCAATTTCGGTTAAATTCCATTTAATAGCAATACTAAGAGGACAATCATTAATATTGGAAGAATTTCATTAAATAATGACAAATATAAAAAGAAGGAGAACTATACAACACAATGATAAATATGAATAGAAAGAGAATTGAATTAAACAATGATAAATATGAAAAGAAAAATTATGCAATTAAATATTGATAAATGTGAAAAGAAATTGAATGTGATACAACAATGATAAATATAAAAAGAAAGATAATATAGGGTGTCCAAAGGTGTGTTTAGCACAAACCTGAATACTGCGAATAGAAATAAACAAGTTACATATATATAAAGTTTATTTAAATATAATCACCATTGGATTCAATCACGCGTTCGCAGCGATCGATCCAGGCTTGAAAGACACGCTTTAAATCATCATGAGAAAATTGTTCAAATTGCTCTCTTACAAAATTTTCAAGATCATCTGGACTCGCGAATTCGCGTCCTTCAGCTCTCTTTTTTAGCGTGCCGAATAAATAAAAGTCAGAGGGTGCAATATCAGGTGAATAAATTGGGTTTGGAACAACTTTGACATTGTTTTCCACCAAGTAATTCATTACCTTATGACTTTTGTGAACTCTTGAATTATCAAAATGAATTGCAAACTTTTGTTTTTGTTGTTTGGATTTCTCAAACTCATCAGAATTGATAATTTGAGTAAGAACATTGTCAATTAGATACTGAGCATTCATCGTATTAGGTTTTTGAAGAATATCAATTGCGATGATGCCATTCACGCCCCAAAAAACCGACAACATCATCATTGGTGTGTCAATTTTTTTCTTCGGGAATGTTTGCGGATTTTCATCCTTCGGGATCCACATGATTTTGGCTTCTGTTGCATATTGAAACCAAGACTCGTCCCCTGTTACTAAAAAGCGAAACTTCTTGGATTGATACGCACCCAATATAGAGAGGAGCTCTTTCGAAGATTGGACTCTAGATTTTTTTTGAACTGAATTAAGGTTGTGCGGAACCCAACGTGTATACGCTAGTTTGTAGTTCAAATAATTGTGCAGATAATAACTGACTGTTGTACGTGGTATCTTTGTCATCTCCTCTATCCTTCTGAGTGATGCTCTTGGGTCTTCATCTAGCGCTTGAAGAATTGCTTTGATTTTTCTTTGATCCGGCGATTTTTTGTCAATTTTTATGATGGGCGCCTTTTTGTTCATGAAGTGATACATCCTAACATGATACGTTACAGTGGAATAGTTAGGAGCATCCATACCGAAGCATTTTACCAATGTCTCGTAGATTTTTTTACAGTCTTTGCATTTTTTTGCAAGAGCGAGGATGTTTTCTTTATGATTCATTAAAAAAATGAAAAAAAAACCCGCCAAAATTTCCCGCGAAACCGCCTCTTGTCTCAAAATTCATTTTATATCCCGGCATGGCGCCAAAATACAACATACTCATCATATACATATATTCATATTTTTTATTATATATTTATAATCAGCATATATCTCCTTTAATAGTCTCATATAGAGCGCTGTGCTAAACGCACCTTTGGACACCCTATATCATGAAAAAAATGATAAATATGAAAAGAAAGAGAATTCCATAAAAGAATGATAAATATGAAAAGAAAGAAGATGTAATAAAACAATGACAAATATGAAAAGTAAGAGAATATCATAAAACAATGACAAATATGAAAAGAAAGATAATATCATGAAAAAATGATAAATATGAAAAGAAAGAGAATGTGATAAAAGAATGATAAATATGAAAAGAAAGATAATATCATAAAAGAATGATAAATATGAAAAGAAAGATAATATCATAAAAGAATGATAAATATGAAAAGAAAGATAATATCATAAAAGAATGATAAATATGAAAAGAAAGATAATATCATAAAAGAATGATAAATATGAAAAGAAAGAAGATGCAACAAAACAATGACAAATATGAAAAGAAAGAGAATATCATAAAACAATGACAAATATGAAAAGAAAGAGAATATCATAAAACAATGACAAATATGAAAAGAAAGAGAATGTGATAAAAGAATGATAAATATGAAAAGAAAGAAGATGCAACAAAACAATGATAAATATAAATAGAAAGAGAATTTCATAAAATATTGATAAATATGAAAAGAAAGAGAATGAAATAAACAAGTGATAAATATGAAAAGAAATAGAATATCATGAAATGATGAGATATTAGAAAATAAAGAAAATTATATAAAGCAATGATAAATATGAAAAGAAAAAGAATGTAATAAGGTGATGATAAATATGAAAAGAAATGGATTATCATCAAACAATGATAAAATGAATCGTAAGAGAAATTCATAAAGAAATGATAAAAATGAAAAGAAAGAGAATAAGTTCCTTGTTAACATCAGCACCATGTTCAACTAAGAATTTGACAATATCTATTGAATTTGCTTTGATTGCAATACTAAGAGGACAATCACTAATATTGGAAGAATTTCATTAAATAATGATAAATATAAAAAGAAAGAGAATTATACAACACAATGATAAACATGAATAGAAAGAGAAATTCATAAAATAATAATAAATATGAAAAGAAAGAGAATTCTATAAAACAATGATAAATATGAAAAGAAAGAGAATTGTATTAAACAATGATAAATATGAAAAGAAAGAGAATGTAATACAACAATGATAAATATGAAAAGAAAGAGAATTATATAAAACAATGATAAATATGATAAGAAAGAGAACATCATAAAACAATGATAAATATAAAAAGAACTAAAATTCTATAAAAGAATGATAAATATGAAAAGAAAGAAGATGTAATAAAACAATGATAAATATGATAAGAAAGAGAATTATATAAAACAATGATAAATATGAAAAGAAAGAGAATTATATAAAACAATGATAAATTTGAAAAGAAAGCGAATCTTATAAAATAATGGTAAATATGAAAAGAAAGAGATTATAAATTTTGTTGATATCTCCTCCATTAGTAAGTAAATAAGATGCAACATCATAATTTCCGAAATACATACTTTCTGCTATTGAATCAGGAGTTTGTCCAAAATTTGATTTAAGATACTCGGCAATTTCATAGTTTCGATAATCCAATGCAATATTTATCGTGTTATCAAATGATTTACCATCTTCTATCATTTGCATAAAAATGTTTTTATTTCCGCCTTGAACAGCAAAACTTTCGGAGTATTCAGTGTATTCAGCTCCTAAATTTTTCAAGTAATTGAAACACAATTCTGATCCATATCTAATTGCACAATCAAGTGGCGTGAATATCCGACCTATTCTCTCATTAATTTTAAGATTTGGGAATTTACTTTTAAGATCATCAACTTTATCCCATGCGATATAATATAAAGGAGATTCTGATGAAAACAAATTAAGAATTTGTTCTTCTTCCCATTCAGGATTGAAATTTTCAAATTTGATTCCTTTGTAATGTAGTAGTGCCATCAATTTCTCATTTTCAGGTACGATAATGCATGAGAATTCGTTTAATATCTTTTGGTAAAGTTCTGCAAATAATTTAAGATCTTTAACACGAATTCGTGAAAAAGCATCAATCAGGTAAAGTGGCATTTGGATAGATAATTTGTTTGTTTTAATGAATTCTATAATTTGTGAAGATATTTGTAAAATATTATTGGTATTGACACCCCAAATAAGTTTTGATGCTTGACTAGGGTATTCAAATATTTCCATTGGCTTGGTATCATTAAAATAATATCCAGCTTCATTTTTTGATTGCTCAGAACTTGACATTCTTTGCAAAATTTTTTTGGCTGTGGCACTTTTGAGGGAAAAAAATTGGATTTGTCTTTATGATTTTTTGAATTGGTATCTGATCTAAATATTAGATACATAGTTCAGAACAGCCTAAAATTGCAAATAAGATATTCGAAGGAAAAGAAGCAAAATTGTTCTGATGAGTACATTATATATGGTAGAATTATCATTGAATTGGTGCATCCATTGATATTGATATTTTCAAACTACAAAATTTTACATTATCTAAATATCTCAAAAATATTTTTAAATTTAATGAATATTTCCATGTAAGGTATCAAATTTTCGAATTCTTAATATCAAATAAGATAGTATTGGTCGATGAAATATTCATCATGGTCTGTTTTGATGATAATTTTTTGACAAAAATAAAGTTTATATGTCAAAATTCTAGAACTTCAAAACGCATATCAAATTACATTTTCTCACATATGAGAATATATTTTAATTGAACTTTTCCCAAAATTAAAATATGGAATGTAAACTAACAAAATGGCAGATTTGAAATGAGGCGTCTTTTTGGGCCTCCGCATCCATTTATGAAACGGAAGCCACCGCAATATCCATCATGGGATGATCCAGTTCGAGATCCACCAGCTGAAGGAATGTATCGGATGTGCGCTCAAGATTTAAATGTTTCTCTTGAAGATTCGCTTAAGACAAAGAACTTTCGTGAGTATTTAGAAAATCTTAATGTCAGACTTATCACCAATGATGGTACAAATCAAGCCTTAGTTTGGCTTACAATGGCGAGAAACATATTCAAAGCTGAACTTAGTGAAATGCCTGAGCATTACATCTCGAGGCTTGTTTTCAACAAAAAGCACTTTACAGTTATTCTCATCAGGGAAGGCAATATTCTCGGTGGAATTTGCTACAGACCGTTTTTCGACAGAGACTTTGCAGAAATTGCATTTTGCGCTATCTCATCGCGCGTGCAAGTACGTGGCTATGGTGCATACGTCATGGCCTGCGTCAAAAGATGTCTCCAAGTACAAGGAATCAACAACATCTTGACTTATGCAGACAATTCCGCTGTCAACTATTTCAAGCGCCAAGGGTTTTCACTAAAAATATGCTTCCCACGTGAAAGATGGTGCAGATATATCAAAGATTATATTGGAGCGACTTTAATTCATTGTAAGATACAACAGGACGTAGATTACTTATACTTACATGATATTACAGATGAACAAAAGCGTTTCGTGTCGAAATTGTTACCAGATTTTCCATTAAACCACGCAACATCATGGCCAATTAAAAGAGTCCAAGGAATAGTAATAGACCAAGAAGCCCACTTCGATGTTGCTAATCAGATGCGTCTTATCGTTCAAAAAGCCAAATTACATTCGAAAGCTTGGCCATTTCTTCAACCAGTCAACTTAACAGATGCACCCCGTTATCTGGATATCGTTAAGAAGCCAATGGACCTCTCTACGCTAGAAAAGAATGTAAATTCCGGAAAATACCAAACACTTCAACAATTTCGAGACGATATGTGGCTTATATTTACCAATTGTATTAAATATAATGGTGATTCAAGCGTTTACTCGAAGCACGCAGCTGATCTTGAAAAATACGCTGCAACTTTGTTCGAAGAGTATAAAATGGGCCATAGAAGAGGCGAAAAGGTCTAATATTTGTAATAAAAGTTATTTTTTGTATCTTAATTCTTTAATTTTTAAAAATTTTTTATGAAAAACTTTTTTAATTTGTCTCTAAGTAATAGGTATCGTTTTTTCATATCTTGAAACCCGTCTTGAGGCAGTTTTTAAAAATTTTAACCTCTATTGAAAATATTTAACAAATAATAACAAAAAATATATTAAACAAACAGCTTAGCTGCATCCGCTAGGTCAGGGTCAAACACTTCTATCTTCTGTATTAGCGACATTATTCGATTTCTTTGTTCTTTCTGTTGCTGAGCTAATTCTGAAATTTCGTCACGTATCTGTTTTGATTTGTCTCGAACAAGTTCTTCCATCCACTTCTTTTCTAAAAATAAGTCGCTGGAAGGCCGATCTAAAATTTCGGCGTCTGAATCTGGGTTATGCTTCTTAAGACGCTTCACTTTGTTCCATGCGAATGGAGCAGTGGTGAGTCCTTCGTAAAGTAATAGAGCAGGGTTTCGAAAAACGATTTTCATTCTTTTTCGTTCAATTATACATGGTTTCACTGAATTTTGAGGAGGAAATGTGATGTTATGAACCAGAGTTATTGGTATGGCATTTTTTGGTGCAATATCAATCCTTGCCTCAAATTCACCCCATCCATCTTCTGAAACACGATAGGGTTCATGAGTCATTGGTCTTTCAGGTCTTTCAAACGATTCATGTAAGCGAAATGTAACACAGTCGATCCATTTCGAAAGATCTTCTCCAGTTGGGCTGTATAAGAAAATTTCCCAATGGTGTGTTTTGAATTGCGTCTGTTTAGCAAGCCTACGTGCTAAGTGGCTAAAAATAAGTTCTTTTTCAATGATTAAATCTTTGTCACTCATAAAAATTGTTGGTACCTTTAAATTTTGTTTTGACCCTCAATTATATAATTCTTATTTGCAAGAGGATAATATTAAGCAACTTTCATTTGCTTACTAATTGAACCTCCACAATATGTATCATTTCTTATATCCCAATAATGAATCAATCTAGATTCGAGTAATAATATTCTGTAAAAATCTGTTTCAAAACATCAGCTGTATTGATCTTGTTTTAATCCATGATCACTGAATGTTTTATCAGATTTGTTCCTTTGTTAGTTCATAATTGAGTATTTGATAAAAGGTAACTAAACTCCTTTCGCCGATCCGATTTGCTCCATATTTAAAATATAGCTTGCATATGTAGAAGAAAAGCTAATTTTGAAGTACGCCCGAAATCCACCAACAGGATTTCGAGCTACTAAAAAGGTACTTTTAAATGTGATTTTTTTTATAAAAAATTAAATTTATTTTAAGATCAGACTAAAAACTAATTTTATGGAAAATCTATATCGACAAATTTATTACTTATTGGGTATATAGATTTTTTGATTATGGCGATTATGTCTGATATGCTTCCAATAAGCCAAAACACATTTCATACTGATTTCTATAAAAGGTATCTTTATTATAGAAGTGTAAGCTATATCTGTTTGTTTTTTTATTATAACAAATTCAAAATTCTCTTATAAGGACTAGATGAAATCTGTATTATTAAATCATTAGCTAAATGAAGGTTCAAATAGAAAGTAAATATCAATTTATATGATACTGAAACCAAATAGTTCTTTTAATAAAAGATAACACGCTGAAAATTATTGAGTATTTGCAAATCTCAAAAATCTATTGGTGAATTTGGCTCAACTTTTAAAATATATAACATCCATATTCAAATCATAAAAGCAGACAAAAATTAAAGCCAAACCTATCGGCCAATTTTTTTTGATATTTTGATTTTTGAGGTATACTTTTAAAAGTGGATTTAAAGCACTGATGAAAAAAAACATTAACTTCTGTCGTTATGATTATTGATTTAGACAATAATGATTTTAATCTTTGATTATCAAAACACTAAAGTCATCTTTTTAACATTTGCTTGGTAGCATTAACTCAAGTCTAAAGTACTATTTTATGTGGCACTCTTAGAATTTTTGTATTCATTGTACACGCTGAAATAGTACCATTAAAGTTATGGCGGACTTTCAAAAAATAGTTTGGTCACCTTTATTTGATAAGAAAAAAGAGATAAAAAATTATTAAAAAATTATTTTTACTTTAAAAACCGCTTGACTGATGAATTAAATTGGTTGTTCTTCAAATTCATCAGAGAATGGATCATTATCGTGTGCAATTTCGTTTGTGCTGAATAATGGGTTATCATGTGTTGCAACTTCCTCTGGTGTGACAGATGTTGCTGTGCTTAATACTTGAGTTTCTCTTTCCTCAAGGTCACTGTGATCACTGACGGAATCTTGTGGCTGAGAAGATCCCTTCTTCTTGATAAGGAGGACTGCACCGACAACGAGAAGTGCAACTAATACTAAGCAAACGATGGCAATGCCTGCATAGATGCCGCCTAATGAAGCCTTACTTGTCTTCTGGGCGCTGTTCTGGTTAGCATTGCTTGTTCCATTAGATGGTTTCTCGTTGTTATCAATCGCAGAAGCGACTGTGAATGCAATTGTAACTTGGGATGAAGCCTCCTTTGTCTGATCTTCGAGGTGAATGTTGACCTTGTGGTCTCCGATTGTGATATCGTATGGAAGGACAACAGAAACTGTTGTTGTCATATAGGGTGTCCAAAGGTGCGTTTAGCACAGCGCTCTATATGAGACTATTAAAGGAGATATATGCTGATTATAAATATATAATAAAAAATATGAATATATGTATATGATGAGTATGTTGTATTTTGGCGCCATGCCGGGATATAAAATGAATTTTGAGACAAGAGGCGGTTTCGCGGGAAATTTTGGCGGGTTTTTTTTTCATTTTTTTAATGAATCATAAAGAAAACATCCTCGCTCTTGCAAAAAAATGCAAAGACTGTAAAAAAATCTACGAGACATTGGTAAAATGCTTCGGTATGGATGCTCCTAGCTATTCCACTGTAACGTATCATGTTAGGATGTATCACTTCATGAACAAAAAGGCGCCCATCATAAAAATTGACAAAAAATCGCCGGATCAAAGAAAAATCAAAGCAATTCTTCAAGCGCTAGATGAAGACCCAAGAGCATCACTCAGAAGGATAGAGGAGATGACAAAGATACCACGTACAACAGTCAGTTATTATCTGCACAATTATTTGAACTACAAACTAGCGTATACACGTTGGGTTCCGCACAACCTTAATTCAGTTCAAAAAAAATCTAGAGTCCAATCTTCGAAAGAGCTCCTCTCTATATTGGGTGCGTATCAATCCAAGAAGTTTCGCTTTTTAGTAACAGGGGACGAGTCTTGGTTTCAATATGCAACAGAAGCCAAAATCATGTGGATCCCGAAGGATGAAAATCCGCAAACATTCCCGAAGAAAAAAATTGACACACCAATGATGATGTTGTCGGTTTTTTGGGGCGTGAATGGCATCATCGCAATTGATATTCTTCAAAAACCTAATACGATGAATGCTCAGTATCTAATTGACAATGTTCTTACTCAAATTATCAATTCTGATGAGTTTGAGAAATCCAAACAACAAAAACAAAAGTTTGCAATTCATTTTGATAATTCAAGAGTTCACAAAAGTCATAAGGTAATGAATTACTTGGTGGAAAACAATGTCAAAGTTGTTCCAAACCCAATTTATTCACCTGATATTGCACCCTCTGACTTTTATTTATTCGGCACGCTAAAAAGAGAGCTGAAGGACGCGAATTCGCGAGTCCAGATGATCTTGAAAATTTTGTAAGAGAGCAATTTGAACAATTTTCTCATGATGATTTAAAGCGTGTCTTTCAAGCCTGGATCGATCGCTGCGAACGCGTGATTGAATCCAATGGTGATTATATTTAAATAAACTTTATATATATGTAACTTGTTTATTTCTATTCGCAGTATTCAGGTTTGTGCTAAACACACCTTTGGACACCCTATATCAGCACCTGTGGATTGAAGTGTTGTACTGAGTTGATCTGGCTGATCATCAATGGCTGTGTAGATCTTGATGTCATCACCAACATCTGGGTCACGAACTGTCAAGCTGATGAGGAGTGGGTCACCCTGCTTGATGACATCATTGACAAGGTTAGAAGTGATAAATCTTGGTGGGTTGCGGAGTGTGAAATCGATCTTCTTCAAGCTTGTCTTGAGTCCATTAGTGTCTACACCATAGATGTTCAAGCTGTATTCACCAAACTTGTAGTCAACTGGGATTGTGACCTTAGCTGTGAATGGCTGTGGAGCTGTTTCGACACGAATCGTTGTTGTTTCAGAAAGTTCCTTATCACCGATGGAGTACTTGAGAACAACATTGTTGTTGGCATTGATTTCACCAGAGAATACTATCTGGTCACCATCCTTGTAAACAGTCTTCGTCGGCTGTGTGATTTCCATTGTTGGAGTGTATGTGACTTGGAGTTGAGCTGAGAACTTAGCAGAGGCAAATGGAGTTTCTGTTTGTTCTGGATCCTGATAATCATCGCACCAAATCTTGATTGTTCTTTGACCAACTGGAAGGTTAGCTGGGATCTTGATACCAGCTACGAATTCTTGTGTTTCGGTTCCACCCGCAGAAAATTCTGAATAGAATGGTGTTTCTGGTAACTGATCTCCGAATTGAGCCCAGAAGTAAAGTGGTTTGTGTGTATCAAGATCGGCATATTGAACCCTGATTTTAGTTGTTTCTCCCTGAAGAGCAAATGATGGTTCAAATGTAGCATTAAGGATCTTTGGCTGATCCTCGACATAGTAAACAAGATTAAATGTGATGTCAGCTCTTGTTCCATAATTATCAAGACATTCTAATGTCAATGTATGCCATTCGTATGATTCATCGGCTGGAATTGTGTATGTAAGAATATTGTTGTATGATCCTTGAGAAACATCGATGTCTTGAGTCTTGAACTTCTTGCTGTCAAGATAATAGTTTAGAACAACATTCTTATCATCCTGGATGTAAACTTGCATTTGGATATTGCTGTTTCTAGTCATGTACTGATATTGTTCACTTGGTGTGAATGTTACATAGAAAACTGGAGCGCTGTTGATATAGAATTTAACTGGGTAGATATTAGATACTTCGAATCTTTCTAAACCAGAAGCCTTATCGGAACTTGAAGCCCAGACATTCAAATCAACATTGCCAACCTTTAGTGTCGCAAGATTAGTTGAAATGACAATTGTTTGTGGTTCTGAACCTCCTTTTGACTTTGTTGTGTATGAGTTGAATCTAAATGGTTGTTCATCCTCAAATTGACCGAAGAAGTAAATTGGTTTATCTTTATCTGGATCTGTAAGTTGGCCTGTCATTGCAAATTAGCCATATCTTTCAACTGTTGCGTCATACATTTGGAAGTTACCAATTGATGGTTTGTTCATAACCATGAATTGTATCTCAACTCCTTCACTTTCATAAACTTCCTTCTTTAGAGCCTTTGTCTGGGCCTTGACTGTAATTGTGTATGATCCATAAGCATAATCTGATGGAATAACAAACTCATCAGTTGTGAAGTCTTTCATTACGTCAGTTTGGTCTTCAATGGAAGCTGTTTGTTTCATTGCAACACCATCCTTGTAGAATTTAAGTGTGACATCGCCATCACCGGAAACCTGTCCTGATAATGAAATCACTGAATTAGGTGTATATTTGAGTGGGGAAATTGCATTCAAAGTCAAAGTTGGTTTGAATGTCTTTTGAATTGTCACTGGGAAAACTCTTGAAATGCCATTCTTTGGTGGATTGTTGAAATCTGGATTTGATACGACTGAAATGAAGAATTCAAATGTATATTGTTCTGGTGGAATGGCAAAAGTAGGCTTGTAACCAAATGTAATTGATTGTCCATTCCTTCCTCTGGAAGACTTTGAATTTAATAATTGAATATTATCACCAACTTTGCAGAAGAATTTTAAGAATTTATCAGAATCTGCATCGTTATATGTAATTTTGACTTGAAGATTTTCATCTTGAGCATATGAATATTTAGAAATTTCGACATTTGTAATTTCAGTTGGGTTCCTTATGTAAAATACTTTTTCTTTAGTAACTTTAGAACCATATGGATCTGTAACTTCTATTCTTAATTTGTGTGTTGTAGATGAGATAATTCCACCTTCTGTATAATAATTGACACCATCAAGTGGGACATTAAGTGTACCTAACTTCCAATTGCCATTTGCGTTATCTTTCTTTGAAGCCTTGTAATTATTGTCTACATAACATGTAATGTTAAATTCGCCTTCATCCTTAATTTTATATCCAATACTCATTATTTCGCTTGTGGCATAGAAATCATCATTTGGTGGATCGAGTCTAACTTCTGGAGTCTTTGTGATCATTACTGTAGTATCTATCATTTTTGATCTACTGTTCTTTTCTGCTGGTTCAACATGATCTGGAGTTGATTGCATCCATGTTTTTACGTTAACTTGTCTTTCTCTCTCATCAAGATCTATTTGGAACATATGTGCATATGTTCCGTATGGACCAACAGTAATAAGATCAGATCTGTGTTCGATTCCATCAATAATTGCAAAGAAATATACTTGATTGTTTCACTTTGGATCGAAAGAATACTTGATATTTACATAACCACCTGGTTCAGCTGTTGGTTGAAGAAGTGTGATGGAATTCAAGACTGGAGCATCTCTGACAATAACTGTGTAATGAGCGATATGAGGTTTAGAAAGCTTAGGACTTGTCATCTTGAAGTATACTGTTTGTTCTCCAGGATATTTATAGCTGAAAGTTCTTGTGTATTGATCACTTCCTCCTGTTGATGGGTTATAATTTAAATGTTCTTTAATTGGAGAACCATTCTCTAATGCTTCCTTACTAGTAAATATATCTAAACTGAAACTGTAGTCTGTTGTGAAATGGAATATAATTTTCAGCTCTTCGTCAATGCCGATTATTGATGCACTTGTATCCAATGTAATTAATGGGTCATTTTCCATTTTAATCGAAAGCTGTGTCTTCTCAGAAGGTCTGATTGCAGTTCCATCTTTCTTATCGGTAGCATAGAATGAAATCTTTCTGTCTCCAGATTTCTGATTGATCAAGTTCTTGAGTGGGAATTCGAATGGCTTAGATCCACCATTAGTTGTAATTTGGCCAATTTCAATTGGATTTTCGCCTTCAAACTGCTGCATAATATAGAGTAATTTATTCTGATCTGAATCTGTGAGTGTACCTTTGACAGTAACGGTTTCATCGTTATCAGCAGAGGTTTGATTTAAGGAGAGACCAGAAAGAACTGGTTGTGACATGTACTGGAATTCACATGTAATTTGGTTGGTGGATGTAGCAGCCAATCCAAATTCATCAATTGGATAGTACTTTATTGCGTGTTTTCCAAGTGAAAGTGGTTTGGAAAGCGTGATATTCTTAGACATTTCACTTGTTTGGCCATTAGTTGCTGCATATGGAAGATCCATGTTAAGGTTTTCATTATCAAGAAGGAATGTAACGTGGCCATTTGTATCATCGTTAACCTTGAATTTGAGTGGGATAACTTCATTCAAGCCAAATGGTCCCTTTGGACATGCCTGAGATAAGGATGGTGAAGAAGATACATTGACAAAAATTGATACTTCCTCAGATTGGCCATTCTTGCCGTCTTCATCTGGATTATTATCATCTTCTACCCATGCAACTAATTCAAGATTCTTGTATGATTTTGTGTTTTCAGAAATTGTGTATTGGAAGGAGAACGAGGCACTTTGTTTACCCTCAGACTTCATGGTTTTGGCAACAGGAACTCCATGTTGGCTTGTGGATTTTCCTTCTCTAACATAGAAGAAAAGATCTTTGTTTCTATCTAAATCCTTATAGTTGCCTGAGATTGTTATTGTCTTTGATTGAGTTGTATCACTTCTGATATTTACTGGTTCTGCCTTGATGTTAAGAATTTCTGGCTTGTTCACAATTCTGAATTCAAAAGGTTCTTTATTTGATGGTCTGTTGAATTCATCAACAACCCAAATTTCGAATTTGTGTGTGCCACCATTTTCTTTGAAGTTGGTGCCGGAAGGAATTGTAAATGACATATCGAAATAACCTTCACCACCATTTTCAATTGTATAACCAGGAGGAATATCTTTATCACCTGAGAGCTCATTATTATTAAGAGAATAATGGACTGTACCTTGAGAATCATCCTTGATGGTTAACTTGAAGGAGATTTTTTCTCCATTTCCGTAGATTTTAGATGGTGGGAATTGAGCTGTAACTGAAGGCTCTAATGTGCAGACAAGATCAATTTGTTTAGAAAGTAAAGAATCTGAGTTTGTTGTTTCTTCATGGTTTTCGTCCATATATATAGACAAGAAGAACTGGATAGGATATCTACCTGTATTTGGATATCTGAATTCATCGATAGGATAATCCTGTGACTGACTATTTGATTCAACCCTTTGAACAAACTTTTTAACACCGGTTTTAACATTTCTATAGAATAGATAAAGTATTTTGTCTTCATCAAGATCTTTGAATTTCAATGTGAATTGTGTTTTAGTTCCTGGTGCTCCCAATGTTTTAAGCCCAACAATGTCTTGAATAATTGGTTTATTAAGTATTTTGAATGAGAATGATTCTTCAGCGGAATCAATTCCTAAGTGATCTGTGACATATACTTTAAGTACATAATTACTGCTACGATATTTCAATTGTTGAAGTGAAATATTAAGAGGGAATGGATTTGTTCCGTCTGTTGTATAAATTAGGTCACCAGAAAGATCTCCTATCTTCCAATGAACAGTTCCTGTGTTTTCATCTTTAATTGTAAACTTGCATACAAGAAAATCACTACTTGCATAAACTTCATTAGGCCTTAGCTTTATAACCAATTCAGGTTTCTTAGATATGATGAGTTCTAATTTGGTTGGTGAAATTTTATCTTCAGAGTCATCAACAGTTGTCCAAGCTGTGCAATTGTATGTACCTTCACCGAAATTTGGAACTTTGCAATCCATCGAGAAAGTTTGGAAATCACCGGTTGGAGTGAGAAAATCTCCATGTGCAATGTTTTGATCTGTTCCAAACTGTACATGGAATCTGACCTTTTGCTGTACATCTGTTTCCCTGAATCTTCCTGTTAATACAACATTGCCACCTGGTTCCGCTGACTTAGTTGTAAACTGAAGGCTATCAAATTGTGTTAGATATTCCATTGTAAACTGAATCTCTGTAACATCTGAGGAAAGACCTTGGGAATTTACTGCGTAAACTTTAAGAATGTGTTCGCCTGATCTTAAATTGGCGCAGTTGAAGTCATACTTTAAATCAGCTTTTGTTGTTCTGGTTTCTCCTAAGTCATATGTTTCTGTCTCAGTATGAATATTGATTCCACGTTGATATAAATCAAAGTGAACAGTGACACGATTTTCGGAAGTAATTGACATTGTTAATGGGATCTTAGAGTTTTGAGTCAACTTATTTGTATTTGTTGTTCCTGTTTGTACAGTAATGCTTGGTTTTGAGGACTTTGTGACTGTTACTTCAAGAACATTGGACTTCTTATTGGTATTGGCTGTTTCTGTGAACCAAATTTCAACAACTTCGTTATTTGATGTTGGGTTGTAATTAATGCCATATCTATCAGTGGCAAATCCAGCATTAAAAGTAGCGGATTTTTTGGTTGAAGCCTCTCCTTTCTTTTGCCAATTAAGTGTATAAGATGTACCTACATTGAGAAGTCTCATCCAGGTTGTTATAGTGGCTTGAGATTCAGATTCAGAAATGGCAACTTTTAGCTTCTCAGCAATAACGTCTAATTCTGTCTCCATGATGAAGAATATATGGATACCATATGTAATAACTTGGTCAGATCCGATGGTTTGTTCTGGAAATGAGTATTCAGCGCAAAGATCATCACCACCCTCTTTATCCTTTTGGACTTTTTGATTTTCGTTTTCAAATTTCTTAAAGAATTTTGGATTAGCTTGGGCTGTTAATCCGTACCAAAATCCGTCTGGTACAATGAAATCGCGACCTTCATGAACTGGAAGATGATCAAAAACGCATCTTTGATAAGCAGGATGTGATAATTGTTGACCTGGATTTGCATATTCATCAACTGCATATAAGAATTTTCCAGGTGAAACTTTTCCTGTTTTTGGTTTACTATCGTATGGATAAATCTTATTGTTGCCATTGAAATTCCAAAATCCAATGTCAGTATATGTTCCAAGTTTGACCTTGACAGATTCTTTATTGGTATTAGTAAGAACGAATTTAAGATAACCATCATTAGGTGTGACTTTTTCAAGTTGGAGATCTAAAATGACACCCCCAAATGGTCCATGGCTTTGATCTTTTGGTTCATACTTTTGATCATTGACAATTAATTGGACTTCTGTTCCGATATCCATATATGTGAATGGTATATCTTGTCCATTGTATTTGTATTGAATATTAAAATAGCCTGATGTAAGCGGTGGCATTTTTACTGGATTAACAATCTTCATTTCTCCGCGGATAAATGTTAACAAAGAGAACGCGAGCATGGTATTAAAATAATAAAATGATTAATAATATTGAATATCTTTTGAAATTTTGAATTTATTGAAATATAGAAAGTGGATTATTATGAATTTTATATATCCATTTAAAATTCATTTAAAAATATTTGTCCATAAATTTCATTGAAAACGATTTAATCAAAATTTAATCATACTCAAATTGATAATCATGATTTTAAATATGACAAATTTATGTTTTAAAAGTATTGAATTCTTTATGAATTTTACCGATAGTAAAAAAATTTAAAATGTCCGTGTATATGATGTTAATTAATATTTAAATCGAAATCCCTCAATAAGATTTTTAATTGAATTTTGTAATCTATGCCATTTAAGAACAGTAGTTTATTTTTTGCGAATGTAGGTATAATATAAAGAATTATAAGAATGTAATCGATCAAGATAAAACTATGAGCTAAGAAAAAATTCTGAGATGCACATGACACTTCATCTTTGATATTTATACATACAAAAATCTTCATCTGTTTTTTATCTATTTTTCTTATTATTAGTAAATATGCATTTACAAAACTATCAATGTTTTTTTTTTCTATGAAAAAAGTAGTAGGATATGACGGGCTTTGTGACTTTTTTTGTAAACGTAAGAATTCATACAATATTGAACGATTTTGTATCATTATTTTTAACATTAATTTTAAAATAATTTATTTTTTTATTCTTACATAAATGACCCAACAAGTAAAACCAGATAAAATAGATTATCGAATTTTAGAGGATGGTGTTCCTGTTTATATTCAAAGATTTAAAGGGAAGCAATATTATAGAATTGTTTAAATCCTGAATGGAATCAATGGAGTCATAATCAAAAACCTCATAAACGAGAAAAAGAAATTGAAACTAATGATTATTTGAATTTATGAAATCAATTATTTGATTCATTCTTTCTTCAATAATTTCCATTCTTTTTGTTAAATCATCTATTTTCATTAATGAGGTGATTCTTGATTGAGGAATAGATTTCAAACTAACCACTCCTTTTATTTTTGAAATTTTGAATCCATCAACTTTAAACATTTTATTCAATTTACACGTTGTCAATTCTTCAAATAATTTTTTATTATTAGCATAATAGTCATTAAATTCATCAACAGATGAAAAAATTTTTATTTCAGTAATTGGTTCAACAACGTTTATTTTTTGTTGAACATTTTCACTTTCATTTATTTCATCCTCCTTTGTTTCATTTATTTTTAAAATTGGTTTCATTTATCATTAAATAAAAATTAGAATATAAGTGATGAAATATATTTTTTAATTAATATAGGGTGTCCAAAGGTGTGTTTAGCACAAACCTGAATACTGCGAATAGAAATAAACAAGTTACATATATATAAAGTTTATTTAAATATAATCACCATTGGATTCAATCACGCGTTCGCAGCGATCGATCCAGGCTTGAAAGACACGCTTTAAATCATCATGAGAAAATTGCTCAAATTGCTCTCTTACAAAATTTTCAAGATCATCTGGACTCGCGAATTCGCGTCCTTCAGCTCTCTTTTTTAGCGTGCCGAATAAATAAAAGTCAGAGGTGCAATATCAGGTGAATAAATTGGGTTTGGAACAACTTTGACATTGTTTTCCACCAAGTAATTCATTACCTTATGACTTTTGTGAACTCTTGAATTATCAAAATGAATTGCAAACTTTTGTTTTTGTTGTTTGGATTTCTCAAACTCATCAGAATTGATAATTTGAGTAAGAACATTGTCAATTAGATACTGAGCATTCATCGTATTAGGTTTTTGAAGAATATCAATTGCGATGATGATGCCATTCACGCCCCAAAAAACCGACAACATCATCATTGGTGTGTCAATTTTTTTCTTCGGGAATGTTTGCGGATTTTCATCCTTCGGGATCCACATGATTTTGGCTTCTGTTGCATAGTGAAACCAAGACTCGTCCCCTGTTACTAAAAAGCGAAACTTCTTGGATTGATACGCACCCAATATAGAGAGGAGCTCTTTCGAAGATTGGACTCTAGATTTTTTTGAACTGAATTAAGGTTGTGCGGAACCCAACGTGTATACGCTAGTTTGTAGTTCAAATAATTGTGCAGATAATAACTGACTGTTGTACGTGGTATCTTTGTCATCTCCTCTATCCTTCTGAGTGATGCTCTTGGTCTTCATCTAGCGCTTGAAGAATTGCTTTGATTTTCTTTGATCCGGCGATTTTTTGTCAATTTTTATGATGGGCGCCTTTTTGTTCATGAAGTGATACATCCTAACATGATACGTTACAGTGGAATAGCTAGGAGCATCCATACCGAAGCATTTTACCAATGTCTCGTAGATTTTTTTACAGTCTTTGCATTTTTTTGCAAGAGCGAGGATGTTTTCTTTATGATTCATTAAAAAAATGAAAAAATCCCGCCAAAATTTCCCGCGAAACCGCCTCTTGTCTCAAAATTCATTTTATATCCCGGCATGGCGCCAAAATACAACATACTCATCATATACATATATTCATATTTTTTATTATATATTTATAATCAGCATATATCTCCTTTAATAGTCTCATATAGAGCGCTGTGCTAAACGCACCTTTGGACACCCTATATTAAATCAGAAATGGCGGCAGGATTCTTTAAAAAATTATGGGATGGAATTAAGAAAGCTGCAGGTTGGGTTTATAAAAAGGTTATTAAACCTGTTGCAAACTTTTTGGCACCAGTAGCGAAAACGGCAGGAACTATCATAGGTGGAGTATTAGGTACTAAAGCAGGTAATCCGGCGATGGGAGCACAAGCAGGTAACGCAATTGGTGGAATTGCTGAAGGAATACTTAATAAAATAGGAGGTAAATAGTGGAAAAATAAATAAATATTATTTTTATCTTAGTATTGGTTGTAGTCTTTGATAAACTTTTTCTCCTTTATTTAAAATTTCTCTTATTGGGGCAGCTTTTGGCGTTATTGATTCAGCAATGTCACTAATTGCTTCTTTATTCTTAAATATCCAATTTGCTCCTTTCTTCATTGTTTCCCAAACTCTATGCGCTCCTCTTTTTACTTTATCCCATAATTTTTTAAAGAATCCTGCAGCCATAGTTGATTATTTCATTAAAATTAAAAATTCATTTTCATATTTTAATTTTGATTTTTTATTTAATAATAAATGACGACTAACTATTTGGTGCCAAACACTAAACCGATTAATGGAAATGTGTTTCATTCATTCGAAAAGATAAATGAAATATTCGCAAAGAATGACGGTAGAAGATATTATAGAGAACTTGAAAGTTCATGCTATGACTCTGATACTCCATATTTTGATGATAAACAAACTCATTTAAGAATTACAAATCCGGCTCATGATGTGAACCAATTAGGTGACACATATATTAAACGCAAAGTTAGAGCAACTCTAGTTTCAAATAAAGCTTTCACATGTGATGCCGCTTTTAAATGCATGCGTTTATTCGTTGGTTACAAATCATCAAATCAAAGCTTTAAACAATTAGAAGTAGAAACTGAAAGAGGTGATGCTGGTTATCTTCAGATGGATTGCGCCCGTGAATCTTTTGCATTTGCAACATATAAACCAAAATCAGAAAGGAAAGTTAAAAAGTTTGTTCATTCGTTATATAATAATGTTCAAAAATATGATAACTCAGTATGTGGTAAATATATTGACCCTTCAGAAGTTTTCAAGAAAGCAAATGAAGAAGTTGATATCACTTTTGATATGATTATTCCGGTAAATGATTTGTTAGCATTTCAGGCGTTCGATGATTATCCTAAATCATTTGGTGAAATCATTCTTAAATATTATGTTTTCAGGGATACTCTAGTATTTTGTCAGGTTGACCCGTTAAGAGTTGCTGATTTACAAAATTACGTTTATGAAAAGATAACTGATGAAAATTATGAAAAGATTATGAATCATGTTTATAAATATGATCGCAAATTCCAACAAATCGGACTTCCTGCCAAATTAATTACAAGCTTAGCCGCTACATCTGCTGACGCAACAGTTGATGACGTTATTATTTCATGCACAAAGATGGAAGTTTTAGAGGATAAATGCATTACACCAGGATATGGTTTAATTGAAGAATCAGTTAAAGCAATACCACGTTTATTCAGTAAGGAAGATCCATTCATGATTCCAGCTCAACATATTGACGTTCGTTCACTAAATGGAGGTTGCATCACTCCTGAAGGTATCAGCTCAGATTTCTCATACGCTCTTCATAATGTTACAGATGTTGTGTTAACATTTCCGAAGAATGCAATGCAAAGAACAGTTTTAGAAAATCCAATGCTTCGAGGTCTTCAGGTCACTATAGATTCAAGAAACTTCCCCGATCAAGCGATGACCACAGTGGGTGACATATTCTTTACACGTATGCTTCAAGCTTCTGATTTAGATGGAGTGAATGAATGCACAGAAGAATACGAGGACTCATTAACTAGACCATTAAATGCAGATGATGGCACACCATCAGCTAGAACATGGAAAGACCAAACTTCATTCTTATGCACTATTCCAGTTCAACGTAATGGAGCGGGTATATTCTTTGATGGATTAGAAACTTTCAACTCACAAGTTACAGTACAAGTGAAAGCTTATCCAATCATTCAGGGTGAAAATGACACTTACTGTTCAAAGGTGACAAATCCTCCTCAGGTTTGGTTTACTAGGACTACGTATTGGACATGGACACCGGATGAAGGTTTGAAATATCATCCAACAGGTACACCGCCACAGTATAGAAGTTCATATGATGAAATATTGATGAATAGAAATGTTTAAAATTATAAATTTATTTTTGATTAAATGGATTTCAATTCTGAAGAATTAGCAGGAGTATATAATACATACATAGATGATATGATTAATGAAGCATTGAGTGATAATAGAAATGCTCTATCTAAGGAAAAATTAATGAAAATTCCATATTCTGAATGTTACTTAAATTCAATCACTGCAGCAATTGGTAAACAAAATAAAGGT